AAAATTATATTTCAAATAAATGCTGTTCTTCTGAACAAATGTATCACAATTTCCAAAAAATTATTAAGCAGCACAACTGTTTTCAATTTGATAGTAATAATAAATGTTACTTGAACAACAAATCATCATATTAGAATGATTTCTGAAGGATCATGTGACACAGAAGACTGGAGTAAGGGCTGCTTTACTGTCACAAAAATAAATTAAAGTCACCATGAAATCAAAATTGAAAATTCTTATTTTTTAATGGAATACTGTAGTGTTTATTATAAATAATTTATCCGTGCACTTCATTATTTTTTTAAAATTCATGTGCCCTCGTAATCTTTAATCAAAAACGTGTGAATTTATAACAGCTAAGAGGCGTTGTTAGGCACGACGCGAAGTGGATAAATAAAACGGTTTTATTTACGTATATGGAATAAAACGGTTATTCCATATACGCAGTAAAGTTTCACAAAATAAAACAGAGCAAATAAAGTGTAATGATATTAATAAAAACAGTATTCTTCCACCAAACAATGTAGTTCCTCAGAATCAGTTGTGGTTGCAACAAAGTGGTTGCCAAGCAACAGAAAAATTTAAACAAAGGTGTATGTTTGTAGAGTAATTTACAACAGCTTCGAATGTGGCTCAGCCAATCAGAATCAAGGACCAGAACTATCCGATACATTTTAAAATATATTAAAACAGAAAACACTTTTTTGAACTGTAATAATATTTCAGTATTCTTTACTGTTTTCATTGTATTTTTGATCAAATAAATGCAGCCTTGGTGAACTTAAGAGATTTTTTTTTTTCAAGAACTTTAAAAATCTTACTGACCCCAAACTTTTTAACGGTGTGTATTTTCAGTGTATGTGCATATGTATGGGGAGGCCCACATGTAAGAATTTTCTAAATGAATACAAAATGTGTTTATAATGTAATTATAAATTATATTATCAGCATAACAATTTGAGTGAAAAGTTACATTTGAAAATGGAATTGCTTAGTATTTGATGTTTGCACTCAAGCTAACATTGTCTCCCACAGTTTCTGCAAAACCTGATGATCCATGTTATCCAGCATTTGAGAATGTTCCACTGAGCATCTTATGAGCTTCGACAGAAGAAACAACATCTGGCCTTTGGTACAAATTTGTTTACATTTAATCAGTGACCTGGAAATAATGCAAAAATATGTAATTTCACATACACACAAAAAATCACTGTAGTCTCAGAGTTTTCAGCCCTACTGTATACTGTACCATTTGCAAACATCTGGATTGGATCTATTTTTAAATGAGGAATATAAATGCAAGAGATCACGCTCAAGTGTGAGATTGCTGTGACAGATGGGGTGTATTTTGGGTTTTAAGAGCAGAATGGTGTGAATGCAGTAAGAACTTGTGGCCACTAGGTTGTGCTGTTCACTTTCATTCACCTATCAAAATATTGATCACGAACTGGTTGTAAAATTACCTGAGAAATGTGTTGGGAACAAAAAATCACCATTGCCTATTTATTATGCAATATGTTTACACAATACATGTTCCATAGGGTCTAATATGCAAAGTGTGCATGCTCATATGTGTTCCTAAGTGAGACAATAAATAGTTTGAAAAGCCTAAAACAGTCAGCCCTTTGTGTGTGTGTGTGTGTGTGTGTGTGTGTGTGTGTGTGTGTGTGTGTGTGAGTGTGTGTGTGTATGAGTGTGTGTGTGTGTGTGTGTGTGTTTGAGAGAGAGACCGAAAGGGCTTAGTGAGAAAGAGAGAAGACATTTCACCCCCTCACTGAATGGAGGGTTTATTGATCTCAGTGGACATCAGCGCCTTCCAGCATGGCATTGTACAGAAAGGCACATTAAAACATCTAAAGAGTGTTAGAGCATTGAATATGAGATAAGACAAGCCTTGACTACTGGCTATGAAAGAAAAAAAAAGATGCAAAAGTGGCCTTTTGATGTTTTTAACTTCACTGGATGTGCATTCTTCATATTTAGAGAAGACAAGTAGACCTACTGTACAGTAGATGAAACATGAACTGAACACCACTGTTTTCATGCCAGGCCCAGAAGGAATCTGCTGACATTTTTGCATCTTCTGTGCTGATATTACAGAATTTAAACATAGTAAAATATGAAATCGAGTTATAGTACTACTCTTACTGATAACCAAAAGCATTATCAAATTACACAAAATATTTCATAAACTAAAACACAAGAGGCAGCATAAGTGCATTCCAATTATGTGGAGATCTGCACAGATTCTGTTTGTTACTGTTCATATATTTTAAGGGTTTCTGGTTCAATAAGTTAAAAGATTGATCTCTGCCATGTGCCACATTTCAGTTTTCACCGTTCATTCTCACTCTTGTCACCTTGCTTGTTAGTTTTTACAAGCTGTAAAACTACCAATATGAAGATCTCACTTACCTCTGTTCTATTTGAGTCAATCTGGAAAACAGAGAGAGAAAGAGAGAGAAAACTGAGAGTGAGATGAATACAGTCATCCAAAATGACAGCATTACACCAACACTTCATTATCATGCAACTGTTTTTTCATACAAAAGATCAAAAATGCAGTCTCCATGAATTGTGGCAATATCAGATGCTCTGTCAGTTGATGTAACGCAGTGATTCCCAACCAGGGCCACGCATGCCCAAGAGAATACTTGAAAAGATTTAGATTTTGCCTTGTTAAACCTCTAAAACAGAAACGATGGCTTTTAAAATAAAATATTTGAGGGGTTATTAAATTATTCAAATAATGTTAACAATTTTTGCAGATAATATTTTCAGTTATTTTAAAGAAAAAATAATGTGTCAGTTTGGTCAATTTGTGTCAATTTAAAAAAAAAAATATTTTTTTATTTAGAGTTAGAATACAAAAACACCAGCTAAGACATTTATGTTGTTACAAATGATTGTCAAATAAATGCTGTTCTTGATCAAGATCATGTGACACTGAAGACTTGAGTAATAGCTGCTGAAAATCAGCTTTGCCATTGCAGGAATAAATTATCAATTTAAATAATAATAATAAAAAAATAAGAAGAAGAAGAATTAAATAAGAAACATTTCCAGTTTGGGGTCAATGAAAGGGTATTTAAGACAAAAAAAGGTTGGGAAACACTAATTTAATGTCTCACTATCACACTGCAAAATGGCTATGAATAGGTAAAATCATTTAGGGATCAACTGCTTGACAGGTAAAAGGTCACGTGAAGTCAATGCGCTAACCACCAAACGTAGTAAAAGAGACGTGCATATGTTTGAGCGAAAATGGAGCAGGTCATGACTGTGACCCAGGCCTGTCAGTCTTGAACTCAGAAAGAGACACTTTTAAGAGTTTTCTCTGTTTCTCTCTTCTTTTCGCACTCATCTTCTCTCTCACATTCATACACACACTTTCACATCCACATCTTGAGAGAGTTGTTTGACTGTGTGCCTAATGATAATAGATGAGGTGTCAGGATGAAGGTGAGAGACACTAAGTCATCCTCACAGCACGAGGGAGAAACGGCTCATCTCTAGCTCTCTCTCTCTCTCATTTTCACTTCGCCTAAATCTACAGGCGCTAAAATGGGAGAAAAAGCTCCTCTAGAGCTTCCGTTCGAACAAAACGCTGATGTTTTGCATTTTATTTTACTTTTACTTTTAAATAATGTGGCCATCTGTGTCTGAGTTATGGAAGGGAGAACTTGGATATTCAAACTGGGCTGACTTTTCAGTACACATTAGAGCAGCGGGAAGAAGTCAGCACTTTACACAAGTCTTGTGAGAAAATGTCAAAATATGACAGGGCTGAACAGAAATAAAAACTGCTTATGCAAGCCTCTTGTCTCTCAGAGAATCACTAGAGTAAAGTGACCTCCGGTTCTTAAGAGCAATCATATACATTCACAGGCATGAAGAGTTCCAAACTAACATAAAGCATAAAGCATAAGCATTATTTAATGTCATTCAATTCAATTTTTGCTACATTTTTACAATTGCAAGAACTTTACTGTAAAAATACAGTGGCAATGTTTCACAAGATGCCTTTTGGTGACTGCATACATCATTAAACTGCATAATATTGGTATAGTAACACATTTCAGCTATTAAAATGTATTTGTTACTGTAAAACGTGCTTATAATAAGCTGTACAATGACATAAATGTCACATGACGACCCCAAGATAACTTTAAATGCTCTCTCCAGTGACTGTTGTCACACAGAAACACCATCAGGGTAATAAACATAACACTAAAATAGCACTATGAACATTACCTAAACAACATAAAATGTAACTTACAACACACCAATGTGCATACTGTAACTAAATAAAATAATACGAATCTAACTTAAATTTTATATTATGTGAATCCTGGGAATTTCCCTGTCAATTATAGGCCTAATTATGAGATTCATATATATTTTTTTAAGAAATAACATTATTTTAACAATCTGAATCCATAACGTAGGTTATTGTCTTGTTAAATACAATAGGCTATATATTTTATCCATACATTATATTAACTTATTAATTAATTCGTTTCTAAAACATTTTACAATGGAAAATTACAGGTATTGTCTTTTAAAATATAATATAAGATTTTACTGTATAAGGTCTCTTACAGTTATACTGTAGGACATTATTCCTGATTATATTTGGACATTTTTACAGTGTGGTTTGTAATAGCCTGCAGTCACTGCAAGTTTGTAAGAAAACCAAGAAAACTTGATGACTTTTAATGAGTTCACCCTGTCCTAAAATGTTCGACAGAGCTTACAACTCTAATAAATAATTCAATTTAACAGCGGTCTGCACATTTACGGCTGAATAACGACGTGTTCTGTGAAAGCACTATATTAAATCTTGGACATTTCTGAACTGACTGCCTAACAATAGTTTGTCTTTGACTGAATCTCTCTCTCTCTCTCACACACACACACACACACACACACACTTGACCAAAGCACCGGACGACCTCGCTTTATCGTGAAGCTGCGGGAGCTCTTACCGGATTCTCCAGGTACAGTCGCGGTGCGAGGAGATCCCGGTGGAGATCCGTCTCTCTATCCGCCCGAGTGAGAGTCCAAGATCTGGTAACTCCGACAAAAAGACGAGTGCAATCTGCACGGTTCTCAAAAACCCTACGTGTCCACGCGCATAACCCGATATAAGTGAAGATCTTTAGAAGCTTTTGAAGTGGTGCGCTTCACGCGACGCGCTCGCGCTCGCACCCTGCTTTTAAAAATACTCTCCAGACGCAGGTGGACTATTCGCGCAAAGCCAGAGGAGTCAGAGCGCAAGTTGATCTCAACACAAATCTGATGAAGACACGAACAAAGATATGCAGGATGCTGCTCATACAGACACATGCGCGCGCGCGCGCGTAAAGGGGGTGACGATTTAGGATAGATTTTTTTTTTTTTGCATTGAAAATTTCATTAGCATATAAACTGCATTTTAACAGGAAATCCACTTGTTTTGTGTGTGAAATGTAACAAAAACAAAGAGGACCGTTTTAACACAACTTCATGATAATACAAGCCCAAAGGGGAGCTGAGCCCAGAGCAATATCATCATTCATTAACTCATCAAAAGACAACACACACACACTCACGCACGCACGCAAACACGAACACACACACACACACACACACTGTGCATCTATTCTAGGACATCCCATGGCTTCATTAGATGTAGTGCGATCTCATTAACAACACAACACAATGCTTTAACTGCATACATATTCATGTATATTCCATGAGCATTATTGTGCCGATGTATGATATTCAGAATGTGTGTTTGTGTGAAAATAAAAACTAGGTCGTATAGCCCACCCAGAGCTTCCTGTGATGGTGGCTGTGTACAGAAAACACACACAAACACATCAAACACTCAATTACACAACATGCAAACCACACTAAATGACCTAATACCAGCCTTCATCCTATCTCCATCTCTTGTTCACACATTCTGGCTGCCTTAATGAATATATAAGAAACAGATGATAAGAGAAGGTGAATAATGAGCAGGCCCAGACAGAACCTGTTCAGTTTTTTCACACTTTCTGTAGTTTTTTGGGGGGGAAATCTGTAGAATGGAAATATAATAATATTTCAAATATGATATATTACATAAAGGGAGCTGGAAGTACTGGACACTTTTATTGGAAGCTGAAAACATTATCAAATTTTCTGAAATATTTAATAAATGAAAGGGCAGGAGAATATGCAAAATTTGTGAATTATGGCATGACTAAAATATTTATAGCTGGAAATGTATTTGTGTTTAAAGGGATATTTCACCTAAAAAATGAATAATAATAATAATAATAATAATAATAATTTGCCCATCTAAAACAAATTGTGTGTGTGTGTGTGTGTGTGTGTGTGTGTGTGTGTTGTATGTATTCAGGATATACTTTTTTTTTTTTTGAGAATACATTAAGAAACTTTTTTTTTTTCATCATAATACACTTTGGGACCAGAAAGAACAAAAGAAAAACATTACAAACATTACTTTTGGGGTTGGTAAAATGTTTATGCTTTTAATTTTACCATATATTGAAATTACACTACTTACACTACTTGTGGAATAATTACTATTTTTAATTAGTTTGAAAGAAGTCTCTTATGCACACCAAGGCTGCATTTATTTGATAGAAAAAAATATGGTAATAAAAATGCAATATTGTGAAATATTATTATAATTTAAAAGGTAAGAGAATATGCAGATATTTGTGAATGATGACAAAAGTAATAATATTTATTGGTGGAAATATATTTGTATTTAAAGGCATAGTTCAACTGAAAATCAGTCATCATTTTCGCGCCTACATTTTATTCTACCTGTATGACTATTCATATATTTTGTATGGATAAAACAGAGACATTTTTTTCAAAATATCTCATTCTTTGTTCAAAAAAAAGATGGAAAGTCATGACATGACATGAGGGAGAGTAAATTAATTTATATTCATTTTCATTTTTGGGTGTACTATCCCTTTAATTCCTTTGACCTGAGCCTCAGAGGTCGAGTGGTCAGGAAACACACAAACACACACTTGCAACTCAGCACCTTGCTCTAATAGGTGAGAGGTCAAAGAAGCACAGCCATAACTCTCTATGAATCAACCCCATGGGAGTGTTTGCGTGTGTGTTGGCCACTATGTCAAGGAATGTATTAAAAAACTCAAGAGTAAAGAGCAGTCAAGAGAGAGAAAATATAAGATTGTGCATGCAAGCCTAATTAAGAAGAAACACCTTTCTTCTCACTTCTTGTCTCGCTTTGTCTGAGTGTGAGATACAGAGACAATGTGCGTGAAGAAGGAGAATGTGTGTTGATTGTGAGCATGTGTGAGAGAGCGCTTATGTGTGAGTATGTGTGGTTGTGTGTGTGTGTCTCATCACCATACAGCTGAGACTGCAGGTGGTGGATCTTTCAGTGAAAGACTGTCTCACTTCTCATAGGAATAACTGCCAGATAACACACACAGGAGCCACTGTTTATCGCACACACACATACACACACACCACTGCAAATGAAGAAATAATCAAGCCTGATCGCAAAACATCTTGGACACATTAAACACGATTACATCGTGGATTTCCGAAACAGATGTCTTAGAATGTATTAAGCATCTATCGCTCATAATTCTCTAAATAAAAATAAAATATGTATCAATTAATGCTATAAAGCAGCACTGGTTACATAAGTACGTCATTAAAAACAATGAAATATCCATCTAAAACAAATTGTGTGTGTGTGTGTGTGTGTGTGTGTGTGTGTGTGTTTGTGTGTGTGTGCATGTGTGTATGTATTCAGGATATACTTTTTTTTTTTTTGAGAATACATTAAGAAACTTTTTTTTTTTCATCATAATACACTTTGGGACCAGAAAGAACAAAAGAAAAACATTACTGTCCAAAAGTTTGGGGTTGGTAAAATGTTTATGCTTTTAATTTTACCATATATTGAAATTACACTACTTGTCAAAAGTTTGGAATAATTACTATTTTTAATTAGTTTGAAAGAAGTCTCTTATGCACACCAAGGCTGCATTTATTTGATAGAAAAAAATATGGTAATAAAAATGCAATATTGTGAAATATTATTATAATTTAAAAGGTAAGAGAATATGCAGATATTTGTGAATGATGACAAAAGTAATAATATTTATTGGTGGAAATATATTTGTATTTAAAGGCATAGTTCAACTGAAAATCAGTCATCATTTTCGCGCCTACATTTTATTCTACCTGTATGACTATTCATATATTTTGTATGGATAAAACAGAGACATTTTTTTCAAAATATCTCATTCTTTGTTCAAAAAAAAGATGGAAAGTCATGACATGACATGAGGGAGAGTAAATTAATTTATATTCATTTTCATTTTTGGGTGTACTATCCCTTTAATTCCTTTGACCTGAGCCTCAGAGGTCGAGTGGTCAGGAAACACACAAACACACACTTGCAACTCAGCACCTTGCTCTAATAGGTGAGAGGTCAAAGAAGCACAGCCATAACTCTCTATGAATCAACCCCATGGGAGTGTTTGCGTGTGTGTTGGCCACTATGTCAAGGAATGTATTAAAAAACTCAAGAGTAAAGAGCAGTCAAGAGAGAGAAAATATAAGATTGTGCATGCAAGCCTAATTAAGAAGAAACACCTTTCTTCTCACTTCTTGTCTCGCTTTGTCTGAGTGTGAGATACAGAGACAATGTGCGTGAAGAAGGAGAATGTGTGTTGATTGTGAGCATGTGTGAGAGAGCGCTTATGTGTGAGTATGTGTGGTTGTGTGTGTGTGTCTCATCACCATACAGCTGAGACTGCAGGTGGTGGATCTTTCAGTGAAAGACTGTCTCACTTCTCATAGGAATAACTGCCAGATAACACACACAGGAGCCACTGTTTATCGCACACACACATACACACACACCACTGCAAATGAAGAAATAATCAAGCCTGATCGCAAAACATCTTGGACACATTAAACACGATTACATCGTGGATTTCCGAAACAGATGTCTTAGAATGTATTAAGCATCTATCGCTCATAATTCTCTAAATAAAAATAAAATATGTATCAATTAATGCTATAAAGCAGCACTGGTTACATAAGTACGTCATTAAAAACAATGAAATATGAATTATGGGATCCAATATTGATCATTAAAAAAATTCAACCCATCTTGGGTGTTTAATGTGTTCGCCCTCCAGAGAGGCAGTGCGGAGATTAATTAGGGTCTGAACACACACACACACACACACACACACACTGCTCAGTGCATGGGTACTTTCACTGTATTTTGTTCCTGTCTTATATTCGAATGTCGCTAGCTCAACATTACTTCTTTATCATTCTCGCTCTCATTTTTTCTTTCGCACACAGTCTCATTTTACGTATGTACCTCCGTCTTCTTTGTCTCATATTCTCCTCCTTCACGGGCTAAAACAGTAAAGGGACCATTAGACGTATAGCAGAGTCCCAGAAACAGCTTTGATCATCTGTTCATTAGATCACATGGGAATATCATGGAAAAGGAGACAGATACGGGGATGGGCGTTGGACCATTTTCACGAGGATGCACCAAATTTGTAATGTCAGATTGTTTTGCACCCACAAAACTCCATATAAAAATCAATTTTACCACTTACATTTACTCTTACTATTTTCAATATTCAATAAAAAAGAAATATTATACCATTTACAACATTTATTTCATCATACACTTGGTGACCAGATTTTTTTTTAAAAATTGGAAAAAAAGAAGAAATATATTTTTTTTAATTGGGCCTTGAAACCTATACACTACCCTTCAAAATTTGTTAGTAATTTGTAAGACTTTTTACTTTTTTTTTTTTTTTTTACAGAAATCTCTTATTCTCACCAAGACAGCATCTATTTGATCAAAACATCAATTTTACATCAAACACATTTTACATCAAAAAACAGTAATATTGTGAAATATTATTACAATTAAAAGCAAGTGTTTTCTATTTGAATATATTTAAAAATGTAATTTATTCCTGTGATAGCAAAGCTGGATCTTCAGTGTCACATAATCATTTAGAATTTTTTTCTAATATGCCAATTTGGTGCTTATTATTATCATTGTTGAAAACAGTTATGCTGCTTAACATTTTTGTAGAAATTGTGA